GGGTAGGTGGGTCCCAGGGGCGGGGGTCGTCAATTGAGGGTGTTGCAAAGGGATTGACGGAGTATTAGTAAGACCAATGGAAAGTAGACGTTCTTTTTGGTTTGTATATGTAAAAATTCACTCAATTTCGGCCGTATTTCACTGGGAATGGAGGGCTTACTCTATTGCTAGTGGGAGGCTGGCTGGCTTGCCTAATAGTGCGACCGTCTACACTGTTGCTTAAAACCCGGCGCCGGCACCTGCCGCGAGTTGTCGTATCTAGCATATACGTGGCCATTGGCCTATGGCCTCAGCTAAGTTGTAAACCGGAATACAGCCACCCGAGCGCTTCACTTACCAAGAGACTTCTGTCATTAGTATTATTTGTTATCGCCCGGCGGCTGTGGCGCGCGCGCACGCGGGGGGCGACGGCGAGAGTTTGCTCAGCAAGTCTGAGACTTTTAACAATTCCGCGCCGACCTCCGCCGCCGGCAAAATCTGTCAGGGCGTCGTGTCCGGGGAATGGCGCCCTACCTGCCGGTCGAGATACACTTGCGGAAAGGGCTATACGAGAGCTGGCTTTACGAATACTAAGGTTAGCGGCGGCAAATGGTAAATCTACTTTAGTAAACTGCAAATAGCGGTGGCGGCGGCGGCGCCTCCTGTAGCGCTCGGCGCACTCGCTCGCAGCGCCGGGCGCGCCCCTTCGCGCCCCCTCGATAGAGATGTGAGGGTCATCAGTAAGGGATGATGAATGGCGCTGGGCGTGGCTGACGGGTTGCAGTTTCAAGGCGGCGCCGGTGCCGCGTGCTGCCGCCACCTCGTATCTGGGACGGCGCCGTCAACGTCGTAGCCAGGCCGAAGGCGCTGGGGATATTTCAAGGTATAGGGGTAAGGGAGATTAATAAGTGCCTGCGTTGGCGACGTCGCCCCTGGCGCCTTTTGCCACCTAGCTTTACGCCATTCGCCCGAGGCCGCCGGGAGCCAGTGTCGGCAGCTGGGTGCCGGCAGCGCCTGCCGCCGCTATTGTTTGCTGCCGCCGCCGATCGTCCCAGATCGCGAGCCCCACGTCGCTGTCACCTGCCGTTACCACTACCCTTACCTGAAACATACCAGGCTTCCACAGTCAATGGTGGATGCCCCCTGACTTCCATTGGATTCCATAAGCTTCCATCACCTTCCATCAGTGTCACCTTCGACCGCCCTTCCATGAGGTTCCATTTCCATGACCTTCGATCACCTTCCATGACTGCCACTATATAACCACCACCTGCCTCCCACTTGCCATTCCTTCACACTACAAAACAATCATGAGCAAAGCTGTTGGTATTGATTTGGGAACGACCTACTCGTGTGTGGCTCGCTTCGCCAACGACAGATGTGACATTATTGCCAACGACCAAGGGAACAGAACCACCCCTTCGTTTGTGGCGTTCACCGATACTGAAAGATTGATTGGTGATGCTGCTAAGAACCAGGCGGCGATGAACCCGGCTAACACCGTGTTTGATGCTAAACGGTTAATTGGTCGCAAGTTTAATGACCCTGAGGTTCAAAACGATACGAAGCACTTCCCGTTTAAGGTGGTCGACAAGCTGGGGAAGCCTGCTATCCAAGTCGAGTATAAGGGTGAAACTAAAGTGTTTTCTCCTGAAGAAATCTCCTCAATGGTATTGGGGAAGATGAAGGAGACTGCTGAAGCTTTCATCGGCTCTAAAGTGACTGACGCTGTGGTCACTGTGCCTGCCTATTTTAATGACTCGCAAAGACAAGCCACTAAGGATGCTGGTCTCATTGCTGGTCTTAACGTGTTGAGAATCATCAACGAACCTACGGCGGCTGCCATCGCCTACGGTTTGGACAAGAAGGGCAACACCAAGGGTGAACAGAACGTGTTGATCTTTGACCTTGGTGGTGGTACCTTTGATGTATCGCTTTTGGCTATTGAAGACGGTATCTTCGAAGTTAAGGCCACTGCTGGTGACACTCACTTGGGTGGTGAAGACTTTGACAACCGCTTGGTCAACCATTTCATCCAAGAGTTCAAGCGCAAGACTGGTAAGGACATCACCGGCAACCAGAGAGCGTTGAGAAGATTGAGAACCGCCTGTGAACGCGCCAAGAGAACCTTGTCGTCGTCGGCCCAGACTTCAATCGAGATTGACTCGTTGTACGAAGGCATCGACTTCTACACCTCGATCACCAGAGCCAGATTCGAAGAATTGTGTGGTGACTTGTTCAGAGCTACCATGGACCCGGTGGAAAAGGTGTTGAAGGATGCCAAGATTGACAAGTCGCAAGTGAACGAAATCGTGCTTGTTGGTGGTTCCACCAGAATCCCTAAGATCCAAAAGTTGGTTTCTGACTTCTTCAACGGCAAGGAACCCAACAAGTCGATCAACCCCGATGAGGCTGTGGCCTATGGTGCCGCTGTGCAAGCTGCCATCTTGACTGGTGACACCTCGTCGCTGACCCAAGACTTGTTGTTATTGGATGTGGCTCCTTTGTCTCTCGGTATTGAAACTGCTGGTGGTATCATGACCACTTTGATCCCGAGAAACTCCACCATCCCCACGAAGAAGACGGAGACCTTCTCCACTTACGCCGACAACCAACCCGGTGTATTGATCCAAGTGTTTGAAGGTGAAAGAACCAAGACCAAGGACAACAACTTGCTTGGTAAGTTCGAATTGTCGGGTATTCCTCCTGCCCCTAGAGGTGTGCCTCAAATTGAAGTCACTTTCGATTTGGACGCCAACGGGATCTTGAACGTGTCTGCCTTGGAAAAGGGTACTGGTAAGACTCAAAAGATTACCATCACCAACGACAAGGGCAGACTCTCGCAAGAGGATATCGAACGCATGGTGGCTGAAGCTGAGAAGTACAAGGAAGAAGATGAAGCTGAAGCTGCTAGAGTTGGTGCCAAGAATGGTCTTGAATCCTACGCCTACTCGTTGAAGAATTCCATCAACGGTGACTTGAAGGACAAGATTGATGCTGGCGACAAGCTGACTCTTGAAAAGGCCATTGACGAAACCATCTCGTGGTTGGACGGTGCTCAAGCTGCTACTAAAGAAGAATACGCCGATCGTCAAAAGGAATTAGAACTGGTGGCAAATCCCATCATGTCTAAGGTCTACGGTGGCGCTGCTGGAGGCATGCCTGGTGCTGAAGCCTCCGCTGGCGCTGCTGGCTCCGCTGGAGCTGAAGGTCCCTCGGTCGAAGAAGTCGACTAAACATGTATATAATGACAATAATATAACGAAGTGAGAGAATCAACTTGTAGAGAATAGAGCAAATCCACTACATGTAACGCTGATCAAATCTTATTTGGTCTCGTTCCCCACAAAATTGGTGGTGTGTAAATATACTGCATATTATCATTCTTGCCTTGTATATTGCCCCGAATAGACCCAGCCTAAGCAAATTTTATGTATAATTTTTTCTAAATTCCTTGGTAGGCTCGATTCCTATAAGCTTGGCTTAACTCCGAATTTTTTTGAGGCCAAAACAGGCGTGTTAAATGATTTATTACCAAGGTAAAGCTCAAGGGGGGTAGTGCGAGATTCAAACTTGAAAAAAAGTCGTGTGTAACCCGAAATAGCCAAACCTCAAATTCGCGGGTTACTGAGAAAACCGCTCGCTTTTAGAGGTGACTCGGCGTTGAAACTGTGACTCCGCACTGTTGGTATTCGCGGACTCGGGGTCAGACTTGTGACTCGACTCAATCGACGAGATCACGTTATCTTTATCCAGCAATTCACCTGATCAAAAGGCAGTTTCTCGCTGCCAATCGTAGTGTACGTTCTTCTTGTACATACGGTTATCTCAGCAATTCACCACCACTTGTCATCTGCTCATCTCGAAATGCTGTCGTATGCTCTGCTGAGCCCCACGTTGAGCTCTGCTTTTGAATGAAAATGGCTGATTCCCATACCCCAATTGATGCCAAATCGAAACTACGCCTACTTGGAGACGAACCAACTGTCAGCTGATGAGGTTTCTAGTTACATCAGCGGTACTATTGAGATGATAGATGATTCGATCTCAGAATCCTCCTAAGCTTATTTGCGCTGGGTTGTTGGTAGTTTTGGCTCCAACCAGCTCCGGTGCTATCACTCTGGTGAAACCCAATCAGCGAAGGAAATTACTGCCTCAATTTTGAGTATACATGACCTCCATGACAAAATCAAGACCAACGTTACCACTACCATCGCCACTCTTTGGTATACCGTACCCCCTGGCGTGGAAACGGTGATTCGAAGAGACAAATCGAAGTTGTATCACGTTACTAACTTGACGGTGATTTACATTTTGAAAGGAAAACACCACGACTCAACTTCCAAGGACACGTCTCCGTGACTCAATCAATTGGTGTACAATGCCGTTAAGTGCTTACCCATGGGGGCAGTTGCCTAAATGATCGTCGGGAAATCCTTCAGCATTTTAATCCGGCTTCCGAAGGGACGATTTGCATGTACAACATACGAATCCTTTGTGCTATCCGGTACGTACAAAACATCGATGTCAATTTTGTGGCCACGATCTTCATTCAGATTGAGTTTCCCGGAGCCTTTAACAGTGAGCCAACCCCAAGGCACTTGCACTCTACGACACTTTTCTTTCTTCACGTTCAGCAACACCAGTTTCAGGATTGCGCACGGGCTAAAGCTTTTTGTGGCCCCAATTGCCATCAGTCCTGTAGCCCTTATTTTATGAAAGAGAATCTCGTTGAAGGCTATGGGTCAGTATTTCATCATAAAATTCGGATGCTTTGTCAACTTCAGCAAGAGAATCCCCTTTGTAAATCTTGTAGATTTGTGCTACCGTGTCGGTGACCGCTTCAATGGTTTCCTCGTGATCATCGTACGGAGTTTCATAATACTCTTCAAACTTTTGGCAGGCTACCCTTTTGATTTCGTCTCTCAACTGATGCTTTTTTGTGGCAAAATCTTTGTCAACTTTACTCAATGAACCCACAATGCCATCAAGCTTGTCATCGAAGTATACTTTGGCTGACTTCTAGCTGATATTGTCAGCTACAGCAATCTGTTCAAGTAAAGCTGACTTTGTATTGTCGCCTTCGGCTGGTTCACTAAAAGCTAGCGTTGCTGTTGCATTCCCAGTACTATCAAAACCTTCAATGGATTTCAAAAGCTGAAAAATTTCAGAAAATCTAAAGGGATTTTTCTGAATAACTCCACCAACGACAAGAGTTTGTCCAAAGGCGGGATCAAACTTCGATGGCTGAATATACGGTAGCAGCTCGTACATGCCGGCCAAGTGGTGTACCCTCCAAGCAGCAATGTCTTCTTTCGTAGTGAGAAAAAGTGTCGGAAGAATACTCAAAAGCAGCATGATTCTTCCCCGCATAAGTCCTCTAACGAATTCATTATCGCATTCAGAATTGATCAATGCATTCGTTGCAATATCGTGAAGGGTTTCCTCCGTGGTAGGCATTGGCCATGGGAACGTTTTCGTAATCGTAATGGCAATAAATTTTGGCTCCAAGTAATCTGAGTATTGGTGTTACTTTTTGAGGATCTCACAAATCTCCAAATGATTTGAGTGATCTGTGACAATGTCGACTTGATACTCTCGCTTCAAAGCTTTGAAGTACGTTTCCTCGAGTTTGGCTGCGTACACTTGCGCCAGCCCAGAAACTCTGATAAGAGAAGTATGGGGGAAGCGAGTGCCGCCATCGGACTCCACAAGCTCATTATCAAACTCTCGAGTCGTCTTGGAAGCATCATATATATAGGCATTAAATTTGAGTAAGTGGAGATTGCGTCTGTCGGTTTCCAAAGTATATCCATTAAGTCGAATTAGTTGATGTGGGTGTGGTATCTGTACCACCTGACATTCTGAAACACACAAGCGGGGCTGTGATTACTCGGTACAACAGTGCCGGAAACGAATACTGTAATTGCAAATGCTATGATCCGAACTCATCATGGGTGGCAAATTGTTTATATCAGTCTTGGAAATTGGCAGCTCCAGCCAAACGTGGCGCGACAACGATTGATCGACTCTAATCCAAAAGCACAAGAGTCGAAAAAGCATTATCAAAGAAGTATTGGGAAAGGTACCGAATCCCATTGTTCCAAGACTCTATGGTTCAGTCATTGCTTCCAGTATGGCTACACATCTCTCAAATAACGATTTTTGTAATAAATGATCTATATCAGCGAGTGGTCTCGTTATTGATATCCTCTTCGCCGTCGTCGATGCCAAACAACCGCTCGTCAACATCGCCTTCGTCGTCGTCGGGGATCTCAAACTCGTCGTACTCGCGGGCGTCTTCGTCGTGGAAGTCGCCAAACAACTCGTCCTCCTCGGGGACCAGGACGAACGTGCCCTGGGACCGCCCGCGGAACACCGACACCACCCGTTCAATCAATGCTCGGTCGACACGGTATATGGTTCTCACCGCCGCGTACACCCCAGCCACCGCGTAGATACCGGCCTTGACGATGGCGTTCACCGCTTTATCGGTGTTGTTTTCTTCAATCAAGTGGATCTCATCTTCAAGACGGATTTGACCCAATTGCGAGAAGCCACCGTTACGGCGAATACCGCGGTCATAGACAAACCACGTGGTGAATAAGAAAATAAGGGCGGGGACCCCAAACACAAAGAACACCTTGAAACCCAGAACACTGTAGCCATAGTGTTGGCGGAACTCGTGTTCTTTGCCAGGACAAGGCTCGGGCTTGGTCTGGTCAAACTTAGTACCACCAACACACGTCAGCAACGGCAACTTGCGGTAACCCGTGGGCTTAAAGTATTGGAATTCGCCTTCGATCGAGCACAACTGTTCCTTGCGGTCCTTGGGCGATTGACCAGGCACAAGCTTACACGTGTTATCGGCAGGATCACGCACATAGTTATAGTCACACTCGTAGTCTTGACGAGTGCACAGACAATTGGTCAATACCTTGTACCCTTCCAGCAACGGAGCCTCACCAACGAAACACATGCGTCCCTTGACCTTACGGAGGTACAGAGCCCGGTGGCCAAAGATACACCCGTCACCAAAGTAGGGAGGGGTCCAGTACTCGTAGTCGTCGGAGTCAGGGTGGTCAAAGTTCACCTGACACTGGTGGTCGAAGAGACCCTGGAAATCAATAGTGACCACTTCCGCGGTACGTGATTGCAAGCCGTAGGTGAAAAGGACAAACTTAAGCAGCGTATCCCGTTGAGAAGTAGCCAAGTCGTCCACAAGCACGGGGGTATCCAGGAACTGGTAGCGGTTCCAGGAGTCACCGTTGTCCACCGAAAATTGAAGCTCTTGGGTGGGGCGGTACTTGTCTACCAACACCACCACCAGGCCATGGTCACCGAATTCCCAGTGCATGGTTCCTTTAGCCACTTCCTTCCAAGTGACACCGCCGTCAACCAGCATGAACGTACCGAACTCAGGGTCAAACGGATCTAAGTACTCACCAACATTGCCGCTACCAAGTAACATCCCAGTGGCCAGGGTCAGGCCATAGGTATCGCGCATGTCGGTACGGTTAGTGTACCCTTCCAAATGGAGGTGACAGTTGCCTCCAGAACACTTGTATGACTTGCCGTTCACATCAACTTTGGGGGGAGTGAGGAAAGCCCATTCACCACCGTCATTGTGGGAAATCACCGTGCGTACCTTCTTCGGGTTACGGTCCACAACTTGGTTAGCCAAAAGCGTGCCTTCCAAAAGGTCAATACGATCGTAGTCAACGTAACCAGAAGAATCACGGCTAACATCAGTAAGCGCAGTGACGTAAGAAGTCCCATTGGAGTTCAGCTTAAGAATAACCCCCAGATCGTCGTCGACCAGCTGGAAGAGGAATAACGCCTTCGATTGAGAATCAAGCACCGTACCCAAACGAGTAGTACGGTCCAGAGGGAAGAGAGCTTGAGCGAAAGTCACAGCATCCATCAGTACTTTGAAGTCGGAACCATCACCCTTGGCGTTGTATACCGCCACCACCAAGAACTCACCCAGCAACGCGTAGTCGATCACGTGTTCAAACAACACGTTAGTATCTTTAAACCGGTTAGTGGTCAGGATCAAGTCGATACGGTCGTTTTCCTTGCGCACGGTACACAAGATCTTTTCGTCAGTGGTGTTGCCCAAATGGACAAACAGACAGCGGTAGGCGTTTTGGATAAGCGGCTTAAACAGCTCACCGCTGTTGTCACTGATCCACACGTCGGGGAACTCACACACAGGGCCCGTCTTACAGCCGAACCACATAAGCTTAGACGAGTCCTTTTCATCAAACTCGAGCTTACCCACGCGGCCCAACGGCTCCAGCGGCATGTCGCGGGGCTTGAACGAGTTACCACCATCATCAGAAAAGTAAAACTTCTTCAGACCCACGAGGACCACCACGCCAGGAGCAGCACCTTTACGGATGCTGAGGATGTGGTCGGACGTTTCCACTTTGGCAAAGGTTTCACCGCCATCTTCACTGGCGTAAACTTCACCGTTGGTAAGATGGACAATGACATTTTCGCCGCCAAACTCGTTAGGGTTATCGTCATCGGGGTGGCCTTCACGCACGTAGAAGTACTTCTTGATGGCTCCCAGCATCTCGTTGGAGAATTGCTTGATACCTCCCGAAGGGGCACCACCAGTATATTGACTGCAATCAATCTCCTTAATCAGCACGTAGTCCAGTTCCTTCTTTCCGGAGAAACGACACTCATCGCCCACCATCTTGCGCTTATCGGGGATGCGCAACTTCTTGCCCTCTTGGCCCTGGCACATTTGCTTCAACTGCTCAGGGTCAGCAACACAGGTATGGCCACTGATATCCTTAGCCAGGATGGCAAAACCAGCAGCACACTCAAAGTCCAGTTCGGAACACTCACACTGTTCGTCGTCGGCGAAAAGATCTTCCCAGAGCTTATTGATGAAACACTTGGCGTCAGCTTTTCTCCGCTTAAACTTCTGCTTGGTACCGTAAAGACAAGTGGGTTCGCCTTCGTCGACGCGAGCATAGACTTCTTCCATATCGCCATCACCACACGTTTTACCGTCAAATACGTTGGAGAAGTCGTAGGTAATAAATTGATCAGTTTGCGATTCCATCACGAAGCGAAGCGCCAGCCCGTCGACGGTGGTGGTGACTTTACCCGCGGCCACTTTAGCGTTATCCGGGTACTTCTCTTGTTTCCACAGCCGACCTTGGTCGACTGAGTAGTAGTAGTATTCTTTCACTTCCCATGGAACAGCAATAATCACGTTACCGTGGTCACCAAAAGAGAACGCACACGGTTCGTCGACTGCTTTAGACCAGGTAGCGCCACCATCACGCAGAACCCAGGTTTTCAATTCTCTGATATCGTTGGCTTTTAACACAGCACCAGTATTACCCACCGCCATCAAAATACCGGGAGTAGCCCCAGTTTCGTATTTACCGTCACCACTGGTCACTCCCGGAGGCATGATGTTGAGGAAACACTGGACGTCAGCATTACACTTTTTGCCTTCTTCAGTATCAGGGTTGATATTCAACAGACGCCACGTGCGGCCTTCGTCAATGGTATACTGAGTGCGTGACTTTGGCCTGCCAAAGTTGGGCTCATCGTCGACCTCGTTCTTTTGCGCCACGTTGACGAACCAAACACCGTCAATCGTCTGCACTTTGAGCACGTCCAGCAGCACCACGTTCTTCATCACCGAGCGGAAACGGAGCCCCGAGGTGTCCGAAGCAAACACTGTCAGCAAAGGGAACGTACCGAATTCCAGCTTAGCGTACAGAGTCACCATCACGTGCAACAGTTGAGGTGTCAGCGGTAAAAACAGTACCCGGCCACGAGCGACACTAGAGGAGAAATTCAGTTCTTCTAACGTTTCACCAGTAGTCAGAATCAACATTTCGAGGTGGTGGTTATCGGCATCGTTGGAGTAACGGTCGTTAACTACAGTCACCACGAGGAACAGCAGTTTAACGCGAACATCACGCACCCGACCGTGTTCAATCTTAGGGTGGGGCAATTCCTGACGCAGCTTAAACCAGTCGTCACTTCTCAAGACACTAGCCCCAGTGACATGGCCTCGTTGATCACGGGCATTGACCCCACAAATAACTGATCGGTCGGTACCACCAGTAAAATGCTCCAGTGATTGGAGAAACGCACACAGTTCAGCGTGGGCAATCAATGGGAGCCACTTATCACCACCAGAGTCACTGTAGAAGTACTTGTTGTAGCACCCTTCCAAATTGCAAACGGGCACTTGGGCCAAAAGAAGGTCGGAATTGGCGGCGTTAAACCGGATATCGGGACGACTGCGTCGGCCAATGTTAAACTGGTCGCCTTTAGTTAAAAAGGTAATCTTTTTCCACAGTTTCCCTTCATCTTTCAGGAATAAAAGCTTCCCCTTGAGGTCAAAGGCAAACGCCCTCTGCTTGGTGAATTTGTCCATCTGCAACGTCATGATCAGCAGATCCTTCAGCTCCTCCACCTGCTGGAACGAATTACCATCGTCGAGCAGGACGAGGAGCTGGTGGTCTCGTAAAGCGACGATGGAGTGCGAGTCGTCGAAGTAGCGGATGGCGTCGTAGGGGACGTCCTGGCGGTCAATGGAGACTTGCGGCAGCTGGTCGGCAGCCGAGATCGCTGCCAGCGCTAGTAGAAACGCGAGCTGGAGCCACTTCATCGAGCCAGTGGGTCTTTTTTGTGCCTTAGTCCGAGCGCTGGAGTGGCTCCACGACAGTTGACAAGAGGGCAGTGGCGCGGTGCGGAGCCTCGGCCCGCGCTCGCAACGGGGTGTGGCGAAAAAAGGTAGATAAATGGTACCCCCAGGAGTCGATGGGTGGTAGTATAACTGACATTGACGTATGTTAATTCGCAAACGTTAGGCTAAACTGACGCGTCCTTATAACAAGAACAGAAACGAATTTCGTCAACAACTATTTAAGTGAACACTCAACACGTAAAACTATCAGTTTTGTCAACAGGTAGTCTATACAAAGCCATTCACGCCAAGTTGTTTAGGCTTTACTTTCAAGGTTAATCCGACTCTATGCTGATGGTGATGAAATTTACTGGCTTGTCCATTAGAGTCAAATATTGAGAATCTATACCTCTTCTAGTTAGCGTGGATTACTGCAAGATGGCGGCCCCAATTATATTACCCCGCATAATAATTTCAATTTGCAGTCGATTCAGTCAGCCGTCGAGGGGATTTCAAGCGGCAGAAACCAGAGTCACTGCAAGCTGGCAAGTACCCCGCAAATGACATACTTCACATCGCAATAATAATTTTACCTTCTAATTCAATTTAAATTTAAAAATCAATAGGGCTCTAATCTTCAAGCCTAAACTACGGTATTTAAATTGGAACCAGTTCCCCCGATCTTATCATTGTCTCGTAAACATTTGGCGACGAATACACAGGGACAATTTGGAGATAGGCGTCATTAAGATGTACGCGATCGGCAACACGAAAGAGGGGGGGACCGCAAATTAACTTGTACCAGCATATAGCACTTTCTCCGGGCTCGCTATCAAAAGAAAGACAAAGGATACGAATTAAAACGTGTCCAATAATCAACACTTACCACCTTTTGATTCTGTGTGATAAATTATCATAGCCCCACCATTGGCCCACCACAAATATGTCAGATGATAGAAACCGAAATTTGACGCCAGACACAAAATCTCGTCGGTGTGCAGATAAGATAAGCCCGTCACCTATGAGCACTGACATCCCCCTCTCCCTTCTCTTGGATCATTTATGAAATACATAGCGTCACATACATGGTGTCCCGGAAAATTAGTGAGTTCTCCGAGGTTATTTTCGTGTTGGTGCCGTGTTCTTGGCTTTTGTAATTGCTCTTTTTCGGTTATCGATTCCGCTCGCCTGCCGCATTCGTTGAAATTCACCGCGCATCAGTGCGAGAACACAAGCGTCTCGATACAGGCCTGAGCCCGATAAAGACAATGTGTTCCTTCATAGGCCGATAAGCACAAGCAAAGGCTCGCCACCTCAGCGTATACCCAGCCCTCGTGGGTTCACAGCGTTGACGTCATTGTACTCCACAGTTATTGGCCACGCTGATTGATAATCGGGGGTCGGCGCCGATAGGTGCTCCCCGCAACCAACAATCCAAAAGGATCAAGGCGCATCTTCCCGAGGCCATGATATAAGGACAATGGGTTTCCCTTGCTTCTACAGGGTAGTTGGCAAAGATGGAGGAGAAGAAGGATTACGTAACCTCGGAAATCCAGCTGGCACTGTCGGTGCCTCATGACTTCAAGAATATCACTACCATCACCTCTCCGTTGACGGGTAAAGAAACCCAAGGGGATGTTGCTTTGAACTACGTTGGTGAGACTGTTGAATACACTCCTGAAGAAGAGAGAAAGCTCGTCCGCAAAATCGATTTTATCGTGCTTCCCATGGTCACGCTCATCGTCATCTTACAATTTGTTGATAAATTGACCAATACCTTTGGGGTGATGGTGGGGCTTCGCGAGGACTTGGGGATGCACGGCGACATGTACTCGTGGGTGGGGCTGTCTTTCTATTTAGGGTATTTGGCGTTTGAGTTTATCGGTGTTCGCTGCTTACAGAAGTACCCTCTCCTGAGAATGCTTTCCATATTCATTGTCGTGTGGGGGGCAATACTTGTCCTCCACGCGGTACCCGCTTACGGGGCTATGATCACTTTCAGAGTGCTTTTGGGGATGTTAGAGCTGACAGTGATGCCTGGGATGGTGATTATCGTTGGCCAGTGGTACCACAAATCGGAGCAATTCTTGAGAACGACGATCTTCTACTGCTCGATGGGTATCGGCTATATTCTCCTGTCGGCAATGGGCTACGGCGTGTACGTCCACCGCAATTCTTACGTCATCAAACCGTGGCAAGTGATGTACATTGTCATGGGTTTTATCACGATGGCGTTTGGTGTGGTGTTCTACTTTTACATGCCGGATAACCCTCAAAAGGCGTGGTTCCTCAACGACAGAGAAAAGGCAATTGCTATGGAACGAGCTCGCCAAAACAAGCAAGGTTACGGTAATCCCAAATGGAAGTGGTACCAGTTCAAGGAAGCGCTTTTAGACTTCCAAGCGTGGTTCTTCTTCCTCTTTGCCGTGTTTGTCAACATCGGCAACGGCGCCGTCACCAACTTCTCGACGCTCTTGTTGAAAGGCATGGGCTTCGACACCACCGGCCAGATTCTCATGAACATGCCCACCGGTGCCATTGAGTTTGGCGTATGTGTAATCTTCGCCTACCTGGTGAGATGGGTGAAATCGCGGATGGCCATCGGCCTCTTTGCCATGAGTGTATTTGTGATGGCCAACGCCCTCTTGGCTTACGGCCCCAATAATGGAGCTAAGTACGCCGGCTACATCCTATCGGTGATCTTTGTGCTTACCTCGGCGACGCTCTTGTCGAACGTGGCTTCGAACGTGGCGGGCCACACGAAGAAGATCACCGTCAACGCCATGTACTTGATTGGCTACTGTGTCGGCAACCTTATCGGTCCGCAAACAATGTTGGCGAGCGAGGAGCCGGAGTACCCCACGGGGAAGACGATTCTCTTGGTAATGGCGTGCTTAGGGTGGTTGATGACGGCGTTGATTTGGGGGGGCTATTGGTGGAAAAACCAACAAAAGAAGAAGTTGGAAGGCACGGAAATCTACCAGAAGTTCCTCGAAATGGAGAACGTCGAGTTCTGTGACTTCACCGATAAGGAGAATCCTTTGTTCCGATACGAGTTGTAATGATGATGATGATGATGATGATAATGATGATAGAGGATAGATTTAGACTAAACAAAACTAATGACAATGATGACAAAGTACAACAATTCTATTAGTAGCTAAAAATTAGAAGATTTCTCAGTGAAGTCTTCGTTGACGACTTATCATTAGATCTTACGCCTACCAATGAAGCTATCGTGCGGCTGTTTTTGACCTGCATACAGCACAGATTTTTCAATAGAGGTAACCAGCACCAGGGACCAAGTAGAGTCGATAAGTTAAACTTACAAATAATAATCTTTCCCATTCTTTATCATTATGTACTCGTGAATAAATAGACTTAGGCGGTAGGACCGGCAGCCTTAACTTCCTCAGTGGCCTGGTCAGCGTACTTCTTGAAGTTTTCAACAAACTTGCCAGCAAGCGACTTGATTTGGGCTTCGAACGATTCCTTACCTTGGGTCCAGGCGTTGGTGGGGTTAAGGATTTCAGCAGGGACACCGGGGCACAGGGTGGGCACTTGCAAGCCGAAGACGGGGAAGGTTTCGTAGTTGACTTCGTTCAAGGCACCCGAGTGGATGGCGTCCAAGATGGCTCTGGTGTACTTCAAGGGGCATCTCTTACCACCTTGAGCGGCACCAGCACCAACCCAACCGGTGTTGAGCAACCAGGCGTTGGCCTTGTGTTGGGTGATCTTGTCCGACAATTGTTGGGCGTACTTCATGGGGTGCAACACCAAGAAGGGTTGACCGAAGCAAGCGGAGAAGGTGGCTTGAGGTTCGGTGACACCTTCTTCGGTACCGGCCATCTTCGAGGTGTAACCGGAGATGAAGTGGTACATCACTTGCGAGTTGGTCAACTTGGACACGGGGGGCAACACACCCGAGGCGTCACAGGTCAACAAGATGATGTTCGAAGGGTGGGTGTCGGCGAGACAAGGGATCTTGGCCGAGGGGATGAAGTCGATGGGGTAGGCACATCTGGTGTTTTCAGTGATGGACGAGTCGGTGTAGTCGACAACCTTGGTTTCGGGGTCGTAGACGACGTTTTCAAGGATGGCACCGAACTTGATCGAGTTGAAAATTTCGGGTTCCTTTTCGGCGGACAAGTCAATGCACTTAGCGTAGCAACCACCTTCAATGTTGAACACACCTTGGTCAGACCAGCAGTGTTCGTCGTCACCGATCAACTTTCTGTTGGGGTCGGCCGACAAAGTGGTCTTACCGGTACCCGAAAGACCGAAGAACAAGGTGACGTCACCCTTTTCGACACCTTGGTTAGCCGACGAGTGCAAGGTAAGGACCTTGTGCTTGATGGGCATCAAGTAGAACATGACGGTGAAGATACCCTTCTTCATTTCACCGGCGTATTCGGTACCCAAGATGACCATTTCCATGTCCTTGAAGTTGATTTCAACGGAGGTGGCCGAGGTCATACCCTTGGTGTGGATGTTAGCGGGGAATTGACCGGCGTTGTAAATGGTGAAGTCGGGTTCGCCAAAGTTTTCCAATTCTTCCTTGGTGGGGCGGATCAACATGTTGTTCATGAAAAGAGCGTGGTAAGCCCGGGCACAGATGATTCTCACCTTGATTCTGTAACGAGGGTCCCAGCCGGCGTAAGCGTCGACGACGAACAACTTCTCACGGGTGCGCAAGTAGTCCAAAGCTCTCGATCTCGAGATCTTCCAGGTCAACTCGTCAACTTGCTTGTTGACGGGCCCCCACCAGATGTGTTGCGACGAGGTTTCTTCCTCGACAATTCTCTTGTCCGAAGGCGAACGACCGGTCTTCTTACCGGAGTAGGCCATCAAGGCACCGGTCAGCGAGATGGTGGTGCCCTTTTCTTGCAAACCGTCTTCGTAAAGAGTGGCGGGCGAAGCGTTGTGGCGGATGATGGTGTCATCCTTCAACAGCAACTGTTGCACAAGGGGGTCTTGGTTCAGCTTGATGGTGGGGTGGCCCGAAAAGTTAATCAGCGACTCAACAGCAGTAGGAGGAACCATGTTGGAATGTTATTGATAGTCAAAGAAAATACATCGGTGGGGGGGGTGGTGTATTTATACCTGTAGGGCCACCGGAGCCTGGTTTCACTTTTTCACCCTGTCTCATGCAGGTATCGTTTGGTGAGACGTGGGGTAGGTTTCACAGGCACCACCTTAAAACTGCGACCACCGATGACGCTGATCCCGGACGAACGTGGACCCAGCAACTGAACAAAACACAATAGTAACATTCTATAGAGTGTTTTGAAAGAGGTTTCACCACCAATACTACGACAACCTTGAAGCTTACTCCACGGATGGAGGTTCTTTTTCCCCGGTCGGTGTCGGCACCCGCATATGCGGTACGCCCCGGGGACGCCGGGTGATCCTCGGGTAAAGGGAAGTTGCTCTCAAGAGTACAAACGGGAAAGTCAGCGGCAAAACGTTAGCAACATCAGCAACACTACGGGAGTCAAAATCACGCCAGTACCTATTGGAGTTATCTTAAGAGTCTTAGTAGCGTGGTGGGGTGGCACTCCCGTGGTTGTTCGGGGTTTTCGCTTACGGCTACTCGTTCCGGTCGCGCAGCGTTTTCTTTTGTCCGAATTGTGGAGCACTGTCAACCCGTTTTGGGAAGTTCCGTGATCGTCCGATGCGGGTGCTGGTTCCGGTAAGCTCCCCAGGCTGCCTCGGAGGTTGGCTCTCGGACATTATAGGGGGACGAAATTAGCTAATACGTGTCGCCGATAGTATGGTACCGCTTACATAACCGGCCTTAGTCAAAGGGCGTCTACGGCGCTATCACGAGCGACCCCGCCCACCCTTAGTAATCTGCCCTATTAAAGTGTGACCACCCACCCTAAGCCCATATGCCCACAGGCAAAGCGGCGCTGGCCCCCGTTTGCGCCCCCAACGGCGCCGCCAACGGCATTTGCTGCGCCTTGATTGGCTGGTTGCTCGAAATGTGGAGAAAATAAACCCTTGATGGTGTACGTGTGCTAATTTAGGGCGCGCGCCGCGCTCCAGCCTCACTGCGCCTACCAGGCGTGCACTGTATCCGTGGCAATCCCCGATACGGCAGCCCCGGGCACCGGGCATTTCCGAGTCTAGACCCGCGCCCCGAGTCTTGCAAGCGTCTCTCCCCGGGAAAAAGGGGGAAACCTCGAACAAACGTCGAAACACCGTTTACATCATCGTGCTTCGAACAGCCAGATCAACGGGCATCAGAAAGATAAATATTTGTGGGCGTTAGCGCGTCGCCGGGTAGAGGTTGAAGGGACATGGCGCGATGACGATGCTCCGTTCGCCCGAGGGGATGAGGGCATCTCTCACTCTTAAGCCGAACCATAGCCGAGATAACGGTATTACTATTAGTGCTATGAACCCTACCAAGTGCTATCAGTGTTCCTGACGAGCTCAGCTGATTTTTGTTTCAGTGTTTTCAACCATCATTGTCTCACCAGCAGTGTCATCAGCAGTGCCTACTAAGCAGCACGCGTCGCAGCCCCTCTGCTCAATGACGTTGACCACGATCTCCTATTTCCCATCAATCTGTGATCTGACGGTTAATCCTAATCAAGCTCACAAGAATGGTGTTTGTTTTGTTTCATGGATACTTGGTGTACATGATGATACTCAGCTTCAATACGTATCGGAGTATTTAATGTCATGGAACAAACACAAGTGATTTCATGATTATCGTGTCATTTGATTACCGGCTTGTTGAGGTGGAGTCACTCCTTATAAGCCCTTCACGGTGATGACTACAGTTTGATTGTCACTCATTGATAATGAGATCAGTGATGTCGAAGTGAGGGCTCACCCTGATATACAAGAGGTTTAGTGAGGATCTGACAATGACTTCAATGCTTCCAATATCAATTTGATCTGGTAGTAATGACATCTACCTGCCTCGCCATTGGACTACTCCATGCTCGTCTTAGCTCCAAGGCTTGTCTATGATATTATCCTTCGAGTGTCTGTTTTATTAAGTCATTATCATTAGAGGGCGAGTTCGGAGGCTGCTTTGACACCATATCCATCGTGGAACAGTTTCCAGTCGGCAAACCCGATTTCGGCGGCGCCTTCCTTCATCTTACCATCTTCAACACCAATCATCACACACGCGTCCATATCACTCTCCAGCAGTTTGAGCAATGTGATCCCCAGACATATGAGCCCATACTTGAGGATTTCAGTAAGGTTTGAGTACAGCAGGTCCACTAACGGAGCCACGATCCCCGCTACCGGTGCCGCCGCTGCCACCGACGGATCGCCAGTAAGTGTTGAAAGCAGTTCCAGCAGGCCTAATCTAGGAGGCCTTCCAGAACCAGAAACAACACAGTCGTCAATAAACGGGAAGTATTTCAGCAATTGCAGCTTATTGGTGAACAACACAATCAGGCCAATTACCAGCTGGTTTGTCGGTTCGAGGGCAGTGACGATTTTGACTCCGTTACTGTGGATTAAGCGTATGGCTTCAAGATAGAGGGCTTTGGTGGTGCCACACGTTTGTGCTACCATCGGCATCAATTTCAGGGCATCGGCACAGATATCAAACCTCACACCGACAATCATCAACTCCCTAAAGATCTTTTTCGGTACTTGCCATTGAGGCATGTTTCTGAGCACCATGATGTACTTTTTGGGCAATTTCTGAGGTTGCCAATGGAGCAGCAGCAAGAACGATTTCACCAGTGGAGAAGTGGAACTGTTCGGTGATACCATGGGGAACGACAGCCCCATTTGCACGGTAGCACACCCTCTCTCTTTCACCAAATAACGCACGGCACGGGTATATAAGTTCTTGCCGATCAGCTGGAGCCGCTTCAGTTTATCCACCACGATGAACACAAGGTGTCCCCGGTGGTCGTCGTCGACCCAGGTGAGGGCGGCACCGTAAAGGATGTTCAACAGCGAGTTGCGGACGACAAAGTGGCGTTGCGGGCCTTGGGATGGGTCCCGGGTGGCCAAAAGAGCGTAAAGTCGCTTATAGAACCCATCAGACCCGTAGTCAAAGGCGTGTCGGTCATCGGGGGTATGGGCACTAGCTTCCCATAATTTTAGGAGACCCTGCCAGTCACGTGTCAAATCAAATTCATCGACAAGCCACCGTCGGTGAGGTTTCAGCGGCAGCCGTACTTGCGCTCTAGGTTTGCCGATAAACTTCTCTTCTCCAGGAACACAGCCATCGGCGATATCATCGCCCATAAGCACTTTCACCAATTGGTCCAAAGCCTGGTTGGTATAATCGTAGCAACAGAGGTAGGCCAGCCCCAAACTGCGGTTATAGAAGAAGTCGTACGGCAGCAGCGTCGCCACAACCACAAGAGGCTTGCTAAGCTGAGCTGGCAGCAGTGCCAGCACCTGCGCCGGCAGAGCCCCACAAAGCATCAGCACGTACTTCACGATACCAATTTGGTACATGTTGCGCAGCGCCTCCAGCGTGAGCACGATCACCACCTTCAGCCTGGCAATAAGCAGCTCGTGGAGCTGGGTGAGCCCGTTGGCGGTATAGGTGGTGTGGAGGACGTTGTAGCGGCGGCGGTCGCCCAAATTGGCCGGGTGGTTGGCGAGGGCATCCCCAAAATGTTGGAGTACTTCTTCACCTTTATACATGTGTTGAGGTTCATTTTCCACGTGGACTGAAGGGTAGATCGGCGTGAGGAGTGGGGTGAGTAATAGCACGTTGGCAGGTTGTTCGGAGACGGGTAAGTGTTTAGTTAACGGTAAAGTGTCCAGTAGATCTCTCACTAGGGTAATCAGCTTCTTATAAGCGGTCACCGAGAGTAGTTGGTGGCGTTGCCATAGTTCTGGTTCTGCTTCTCTGAACGGTATAAGAGCTTCCTCATTTTGTTTCCCCAGAGGGAATATCTCTGACCACGGGCGACACCGGCGTTGTAAAGCTTCAATACGACGCATCAGCGTTGCCACCGCTTCCTCTTCAAGGATACCGTTGGCTAACCCCTTGGATATAGCTTCTAGCGCTTCCTTTTGGAATGCTTCATCTTGACACACAAGCACTAAATCACACCCTGCCAGCAACGCTAAGATCACCCCCTGTGAAAGACCGATAGAGTGACATAATGCCTCCATCTCAAGACACTCGGAAATGACAAACCCTTCAAATCCAAGCTCATGCCGAAGCAACTGGGTAAGCAATACCGGCAGCAAACACGCGTGGGTCTCGTCAGGAGAAATAGTGGGGACACCACAGCCAGCAGCGGATATCCCATCCAATAACCCGTCATTTATAAGCTGGGCAAACGGTACCAGATTATACTGTCTGATCTGATCAAGCAGGTCGACCATCATCGGCAATTCCATTAACGAATCGACAGCAGCATTACCGATACCGGGGAAGTGTTTCCCCACTGTGAGAAGACCACCATCCTGAAACCCTTTAGCACACAGACGACCGTATTTGATCACATCCTCAGGCGTAGTAGCAAACGCTCTCACACCCACCAATTGATGGCTAAGCTTAGTCACCACGTCAAGCACCGGTCCCAAGATCATCGAGAAGCCAATCCGTCTAAGCTCCACCGCTAACGCTTTGGCACATTGGTAAATTAAGTCAGTGTCCTGAGTGGCTGAGAGGGCCATGGCCAGTGGGAACTGTGACAAGAAATCGGGGTCAAATAACGAGTTCATCATACCACCTTCCTCGTCCAAGCAGAACATGATCGGGTAAGTATAGTTCCCCTGAGAGTACGCCAACCACTGGAGATCTCGAAGGAGTTTCGTCGTCTGCTTGACGTCGACGGTGTTTTTGCGCGAGATGATCATCGTCAGCACTCGCTGTTCAACCACTAGGCGAGTGGCGTGCGGGGTCACGGTGGTCCCCTGGAAGCCGCCACATACCAACTGCCCCACGTTCATGGTAAAGAACACTGAAGGCTTGGTAGACTTGTGTAGTATTTAGGGATGGCAGCGGGGAAACCGTGGGGTGCGCGCGACACCCACCGAGTCAGCCGCTAGGTAAACAATGGGGCCATTGTTGAGCCAGTAAATGAGGGTGTATAGTCTTGAAAATGAGCGATTTGATACTATTGACTACACTGATTACAATGAATACAATATATCTTCTTATATTATTGCTTATCCCGTATTTTACTGTCTATTTGTATAGTCTTCACACTCAGTGAGTGTACTCACGCGCGCATCGTGGAGACTCTGCCAGGCTCTGTGTACCCAGCTTGTCCCTGGCTACACTTCCTGACACTCCCCAGACACTAATAAACCGAGACAATTGGAACGTTCATTACCCCTGATTCATGAGTCTTGACTACCGGCAAAAGGGGTTTGACGCCCTCGACGACGGCGACTACCCGGCGGCGATCAACCACTTCACCAACGCTTTGCGCAACAACCACGAGTCCGTGCTTCACCTGGCACGTGCCAAATGCTACTACCTAAACGCCTGTGGCCGTGGCGAGCCCGAAGCTATCTCCAATCAGGCGTGGAAGAAGATTGAGGCCGACTGTGTGGCTGCTCTTGAATATGACCCTCAGAACTATGAGGCTCAGTACTACCAGGGTCTCCATAGCTTATACCAGGAGCACGATTATCCTAAAGCTGTGAAACAGCTTGATTCGGCATTAAGAGCGCTGATGACAGCTCCTAAGAGATTCCGCAATTGTGAGAAGCCCCTGAAAATCCATGAGGCTCTTAATGACGCTAAAGAATACCTCAAAAGGTCACAGGAAGATGCAGTGGTGGCCAAAAGAGTACCCCTTTACTCTAAGCTCGCTCGCTTACTACAACAGGACTACCAGGACCAGATCGATACCGTGCGGCGCAAGGACGTCAACGACGACATCCGCCAGTACAAGTTGACCCAGTTGGCGATGCAGTACCGCGAAGACAGCCAAGACCTCCACACGATGTTTGCCAGCGGGTTTGGCTACACCGCCAGACAAAAGGTTGAGGTTCCTGACTGTTTCATCGACCGTATTACCGAAGAGATATTCCACGACCCTGTGTGCACGCCGCTGGGAGTCAGTTACGAGCGGCTGCTGTTGTTTAAGCACATTGAGCAGAACGGGCTCGACCCGTTGACGAGACATAAACTTACGAAAGACCAGTGCTACCCCAACGTTGAGCTCAGAAAGGCTGTCGAACAATGGCGCAAGGAACACGAACCTGATATCTAGTGGAATTGTGATGAGTATTTAATTTTTGTGTAAGGTTTAATATGAGACTCGAACTGTGAGTATGATTTTGAGAATTTGAAGCAATTTCCGAGAAGTTGACAAATTGTTGGGAAAATTATACCAAACATCTTGAGGCCGACCAAGCATTGCAATGTTACCAATAATCGCAAACCAAGGATTGCCCAGTTGTTTTGCCTTATCGATGGATAGAAGGTGCCACAATAATGTCTGGGTGACTAATGGTTAGCATGATCAACGGTTTGAAATTTTTACGTACACCCTATTCCCAAAGCAATAGTGCTGGGTCAAGGTCAACAAATCTTCAACTAACTACCGACACATTCATTGGAATCCATACCTGCACAATTGCTAGTATTAATTAGCCGTTCATTGGTTTTGACTACAACGGTCACACGACCATACACAAGCCACAAAATGCTACTATAGCCTCCAGAATACCACCCATCTCCTGAATAAAGCTTATGTTTGGTTCTAGCATCTACTTTCAGCTGAATACCCCTCGTCTTCACCGAATTAGGCTGACCGACACCACTTCTAGTTCTCGAAGCTTCGACGTGGCTGGCTCTACCACTGAAAAAACTGACGCTTCGGTGGCGTAGTGCTGGCTCTACACCCCCAATTAGGCCAATTAGAGGGTCATTCCCCATCGAATTTGACTCATCCGTTGGTGGCGATTGTCATCGCTCTTTACTGATCACCCACTAATGTCCTGCACAATGACATCGCAGCCTGTCATCTCCGGACCACAAACACTCTCGATGGCCACACTGAGACTACTACATTTCCCACGAAAACCCCTACGAGATCACTACTAAATCACTACAATATTTTACCATCAACTCAATCTAAAACAGGTCACTCACTCTTTTCCCCCTTCTTTCGTCCTCCTCTTCTTTTTGTTGTCATTTCAGTGGTGTCTGTTTTTCTTCGCGGTGTTCCCGATTAGGCGCATTTGTCAACACCACCACTAATTAAACACCCGCAATTCCTCGCTGCCATGCCTCAGCCTTATTGTCACCACACAACCTCAGTTTTGGTAGCTGCCCATGTTTGAGGACGACCCTTTCAAGGACCCCCCGCAAAGGGCCCACACTACCGGCACCTACGCCGCCGACGACTCCTCGGACGACGACCAGCTGGCCTTTGTTGGCTTCGCCCCGCTGGAGCTGCCCCATCGCCCCCGCCACCAAACACCGCTGTCCCTGCCCCAACGACTGCCTCAGCGGCTGCCCCAGAGACTGCCGCGCCAGCTGCCCAACATCTTCGCCCGGCTGTCGCGTCTTTCGAGGCCGCCGGTGCAATTACTGCTGGCGCCGTCGTTGCCGCCCCAGGCTCCGCCGGCGCCGGTGCTGCCCCGGAAATTGTTTACTGCGAGAGAACTGCCGTTGCGGGACTCGGTGGTGCTGGTAGACAGCCACCATCTCGCTTCTAGCCCCCCCGAACTGCCTACCCGCCACCTGAGCCGGCTGGTGGTTCTGGACCATTCCCAGACGACACTGAGACTTTTGGAACCGCCCCAGCCGATCTTCAGTCCCGAAACATACTCGATCGCCGCTCTGGATGATGTTCTGACCAAAAGAGAGCTGGTAGACTACGGCTACGACGCCTACCAGAAGGAGTACGCCCAGCTGACCTACTCCGACGAAGCGAGCACGGTGTACGACGACGACCACCACAGCACCCACCCGGAACTGCTGTACTTCGGCGANCCACAGCACCCACCCGGAACTGCTGTACTTCGGCGACTCGCTCGACGGCAAGTTCATGGAGGGGCTCGCCAACTACGTCCCCGGCCCCCACCCCCAGCCCACACACAAGCGGAAGGTGCGCCTCGTCAACAAGACGGGTAACTTAGCCCTTGAAAACCCTATTCCTGAAGAATTGAAGAAGGTGTTGACCATCACCGAGCTGCCGTTTGGCGAGTTCACCAATATGACTTATACCGCGTGTACCGCTGAGCCCGACGACTTTGTCGCTGAAGGGTACACTTTGCGGGCCGCCAAGTACGGCCGGGAGACCGAGATCGTCATCTGCATCACCATGTACAACGAGGACGACGTCCTGTTTGCCCGCACCATGCACGGGGTGATGAAGAACGTCGCCCACCTCTGTCTGCGCAACAAGCTGCAGTGCTGGGGCAAGGACGGGTGGAAAAAGATCCAGGTGGTCATCGTGCTGGACGGGCGCAACAAGGTCAACGACGGCGTGCTCCAGTTGCTCACGGCGACTGGTTGCTACCAGGATAACTTGGCGCGTCCGTTTGTTAACAACAAGGCGGTGAAAGCGCATTTATTTGAGTACACCACGCAAATCCTGATTGACGAACAATTGAAATTCAAAGGTGATGAGAAGAACTTAACCCCCGTGCAAGTGCTTTTCTGCCTCAAGGAAAAGAACCAGAAGAAGATCAACTCCCACCGCTGGCTCTTCAACGCCTTCTGCCCCGTGCTCGACCCCAACGTCGTCATCTTGCTTGACGTCGGTACTAAGCCGGATAACCACGCCGTGTACCACATGTGGAAGGCGTTCGACCGCGACTCCAACGTCGCCGGTGTCGCCGGTGAAATCAAAGCGATGAAGGGTAAGGCGTGGGGCACCATGCTCAAGAACCCGCTCGTCGCCTCGCAGAACTTCGAGTATAAGATGCTGAACATTTTGGACAAGCCGCTAGAGCTGGTGTTCGGGTACATCTCGGTGTTGCCCGGTGCCCTCTCCGCCTACCGCTACATTGCCCTCCGCAACCACCCCGACGGCACTGGCCCCTTGAACTCGTACTTTAAAGGTGAAGACTTGTTGCTGTCCCACGTCACGGGCAACTCCAAGACCAACTTCTTTGAGGCAAACATGTACTTGGCCGAGGACCGGATCCTCTGCTGGGAGCTTGTGGCGAAGAAGGGGGAGAACTGGGTGCTTAAGTTTGTCAAACTGGCCACCGGTGAGACCGATGTTCCCGAGCTGGTGTCTGAATTTCTCCTGCAACGGCGGCGGTGGATGAACGGGGCCTTCTTTGCCGCCCTCTACTCGTTGCGCCACCACGCCCGTATCTGGTACACCGACCACTCCTACTTCCGCAAGCTCTTCTTCCAGGTCGAGTTTCTCTACCAACTTGTGCTGCTTATCTTCCTGTTCTTCTCGTTGCTGAACTTCTACTTGACATTCTACTTCCTCACCGGGTCGCTCACGCTGGACCCCTCCGTCGGGCGTGCTGGCTACTGGATCTTCACCATCTTCAACATGTTGTGTATCTGTACGTTGACGCTGATGTTCATCGTCAGTATCGGCAACCGGCCCCAGGCGCTGAAGAACATATTCAAGACGTTGATCATTCTATTGACAGTGTGTGCCCTCTACGCGTTGATCGTGGGGTTCTACTTCGTGATCCGCACCATCATCCGCTTCGGCATGGACGATGGGGCGCTGACGTACGTGATGGTGCTGATCGTGGTGCTGTTGTTGCTGACGTACGGGTTGTACACGTTGATGCTGATCTTGTACCTCGACCCCTGGCACATGGTGACCTGTCTGGTCCAGTACTTCTTGATGATCCCCCTGTACACGTGCACCCTCCAGATTTTCGCCTTCTGCAACACCCACGACGTCTCGTGGGGGACTAAAGGTGACAACAACCCCAAGGAGGACCGCCTGAACCAGTACATCGTCGAGAAGAACGAGAAGGGCGAGTTTGAGGCCACCGTCGTCGACGTCAACATCGACGAGGTCTACCTCGAGACCCTCTACCAGATCCGCATGCGCCGGGCCAATAACAAGATCAAGACCCACCAGCACGTGAAGACGGTGTTGGAAGGCGAGGACTACGCCAAGGACGTGCGGACCAAGGTGGTATTGGTGTGGATGGTGGCCAACTTGCTCTTCATCCTCATCATGGTCCAGGTGTACAAGCCCGGCGACACCGCCAAGAATATCTACTTGGCGTTCATCCTCTGGACGGTGGCGGTGCTCTCGTTCGTCCGCTGCTGCGGGCTGATCGCGTACTTGGTCAACTCGGGGATCCGCATGTTTGTCGAGCTGAAGAACAAGTGGAGCTACAAGCGGACGCTGGCGGCGATGCCCAACCAATTGAACTAAAGGATAATTATTTTATACACCTAATGCATAGATACCCCCCCTAATGGTGCCATGGGTGGCTCCACACCCTGTACAATGCACGGACAACCCCCTTTGTCGACTGAGTGGTGGTCCGGTTATAATTGTCCCCCAGTGGGTTGGCGGCCTCGCTTACCTCAGCACCTGTCCATGCACAGACGTAAATATGCCCGCCAACGCCGCTTACGCCCCAGGGCCCTGGCTCACCAGCCTGAACCCGAAAAGCAACTCAAAAATTACCTGGCACGGCCCAGCCTCAACCCAGGGTTCGGCACAGCTGGAAGTGGTTGCTTTTGCCCCGAAGCCCGCGATAGAGCCGTTGACGACGGCGTGACACCAGCGTGGACCAATCGCCCGTTTAGCCGCCCCATCCGGTTGGGGTGACAACCGAGTCCGGGGTGCAGAGGGTTGTCTGCCCAACAAGCGGTGCCGCGGGAGGGCCTCACGCCCTCACAAAGGGGGGGCATTGCTGGGGCCACAATTGCGCCCTTAATTCCCCTTGAAATCGGCCAGGTGTAGGCGTGGTAGCAAACCCTTCTAATATGGAGGTGCTTGAACCCTATGTTCGTTTTTGTGGCAGGTTACGTGCTCACGTGCAACGAGGGCCCAGACACCGATCGCCAGCGTTTGCACACACCCTCACTAGATTGGCTGCCCCTTGCGTTACGCAGCCCTGGCGCCACACACCAGCGACAAGCGCATGCATGGTATGGGCAGGGTCCGATATTGTTAAATGGCGCTGCCTTTACCGCATCGGGAAGGCGGGCGACGACAATGGCGACACGGGAATCCCGAGCTGCAATGCTGGGGGTGCATCAAATTGCACATCGCATGCCACCGACGTAGCGCAGGTGTTTAGCACTTCCCCTCCGCCAATGGGGTCTGTTCGGTAGGGTATTATCCGACAATTGGGTCCTTTCGGCAATGGGGATCATTCGATGTTTTGACGGCGATCCCCTGGCGATATTATTCGGCGAATTGAGCCTTTAGGCGCCACCCCTTTTCGGCAGCGTCCCAGTGGGCCACTGCCCTGAGCATGCTGCGGACATTGAGCATTTCCTGCTGCAGGGTCAACGGCACCTCCGCGGCGTCTAGCACCGCTTTCAGCGGGGCGAATTGGTTGGGCTGGGTACGGAGATACGCCACCATTTTCGCTAGCACCGGGTTTTCCACGACATCGTCGCCGTCGGCGTCAGTGCTCTTGTGCCGCTTAAGACTGGCGAGCACCAGCGCCAGCAGCTGCAGTTCTGGTGAGGCCAGGCGCTTGCCTGGAGCAGTAGACTTAGCCTTGCCGAATTGACCCTTTAAAGCACCAAATTTGCCTGTCCACGTAGGCGTCCCCACTTTGTTTTGGCGTGCTTCGCGGGCCAGCTTCTTCAACGCGGCCACCGCCTGCTGAGCGACTTTATTGGCTTCGTGCTCGGCCAACAGCGTCTCCTCGTGGGGTCTGACGGCGTCGTCGTGTTGTAACGTCAGGTGAACCCCCAAATTGAAGAACTCAGAGTTCTCCGGGTCCTGCGCAGTGCCATCTTCGTAGTTATCCATCTTCGCCACTCCAGCCACTTCAAGAACGTCGTCGTCAACGTCCTGGTCCCGGTCTAGCCGTTTCAGCGACCGCAGCTTGGTACCAGCGTACTGGTTCTCTCTAAGCTTGAACATATCGGCAGTCTCCGTACCCTTCTCATCGTCATCACCTAACGTGAATAAGTCGTGCAAATCGTTCATCTTAAACAACCGTTTCTGTTTCGGATCGGTTAAGATCTTATTGGTGAGGAACGTCTTGAAGATCTGGCGATGGTAGATCTTCTCCTCGATGGTGCCGGCCGTCATTAACCGGTAAATGACGATATCCCGAGTCTGACCCAAACGCCACGCCCGCTCTCGCGCCTGGACATCCGTCAGGGGGTTCCAGTCAGGGTCAAAGATGATGACACGGTCGGCACCGGTGAGATTAACGCCAAGACCCCCGACTTTAGTGGTCAAAAGAAACACGTCGAGCTCACTGGAAGTGTTGAATTCGTCAACCAACTGCTGTCTGACGCCAATGGGGGTGTTACCGTCCATACGGAGGTAGCCAAAGTGCAGTCCGTCGTCACGGGTAAGCCCCTGAACTTGTGTTTCCAATATATCAAGCATTTGTCTTGTTTGACAGAACAAAAGCGTCTTATGACCCTGACGCTGCCATTGAGGTAATAACAGTGCTAGAAGAGTCATCTTACCACTGCGTGACACTGCTCCATAATCTTTAGGTCGCTTTTGGTCCTGATGGACAAGATCAGGGTGATTGCACACTTTTCTTAAAATGTCGACCCCGTACAACACGTTTCTTCTACCTCTCATGATGCTCAGCAAGTCCTCTGAACCTAAGAACTGGGAGTAGAGCTGACGCTGTTGTGGAGTAAGCTTGACAAACACCACCATCTCTTTCTTCTGCGGCAAGTCACGGGCGACATCGGCCTTCACTCGGCGTAACAAGTACGGGTTAATCATCTCTCGAAGCACCACGGCACACTTGTAGCCGGCCTGGACTTGGACGTTCGTAGCATTGGCGTAGCCCCCCATATTGATGGGAACAGCAAACTGTTGCTGGAATACCGGTAAAGTACCTAACCTACCAGGGTAGACAAAGTCAAATAACAGCCACAATTCGGTCAAATTGTTCTGGATGGGAGTCCCCAGCAAAATGAGACGATTATGGGTGCGGATCTGTTTTGCCGAAAGCAGTACCATCAGGTTAGGGTTACGGATCTTGTGGCCTTCGTCAAGAACAGCATAGCCCCACTGGCGGCCGAGTAAGTGGCGGCGGTAGATTCTGAGCCCCAAATAGGTGGTGATAATCACCCCTGAACCTCCTTGGTCATTGAACACCAGTTTGACTAAATCACCAGCATTAGTCGTTTCTTTCTCAAGCAGTTGACCGTTGACAAACGCCTCCAATTCGTCTTCTTCCAGTAGTTTCTTTTTGGTGATACCCAGGCCAATGGCGTGGAGTAAGACCACTCTAAACGGCGGCCACCACCGGTGGAACTCATTACACCATTGAGCTAACACGGTGGCTGGAACGACCACAAGTATCGGTTTTTGTAAGATCTTCAGGTGGTGTAAGCCGGCAAGGAACGAGATTACCTGGACGGTTTTCCCTAGACCCATTTCGTCGCCGAGAATGCCCCCCGTCTTCTGGTTATAGAGCTCCCAGAGCCACTGGACACACGTCTTTTGGTAGTCAAACAACAGTGGGTGAATATCCCCTGGTAAGCGGAAGGTGTTATCAAGCACAGCGTCCTCAACTGTGGGGTGGGGCAAGTATGGTTCATCCTCAGGAGTAGTAGTAGGGTTGACTCTCAAAGCTCGCCGAGTGGTTTCCCAATGGTCTAGGCGTAACCTGTACCGCTCCATATCGCCGTCATCGACGTTTCTTTCCGTCAGCGGCTCGGGAGTCTCCAGCGGTTCCCTCACTTCGTCGAGCTCATCGTTGACGACTACCGCGTACTCCTCCTCGTCTTCAGGCTCACTAGGGGCTCCGTCACTCTCATAGGCACTGCCCGAGTCATCAGACACCTCGACAATATCGTTATCTTCCTGTTTGATTGGTATTTCCTCCTGTTTTTCCTCCTCTACCTCCTCTTGAGCCTCGACGCGTTTATCCACAGTTTGATTAATCCCAGGCTCGTGAAGTTGTTGGTGGGACTTCGTCTCTGTCGTTTCGCCTCCGACAAACCCCTGGGAGGTGCCAAAGGCCGTGATTTTCCCCGTTCTCACGAGGTAGTCGTGCTCGGTCTCGCCCTCATCGTCACCGTCAATACGCCGCTCGATATCGCGTATATCCTGCTCTCGAGCCTCTAGCTCCTTTCTGGCATCGTCGATCTTGGTAGCAAGCAGTCGGCGGGCGCTGATCTTGGCTCGGGGGAGCTGGCGCTCTAAGCTGAGGAGCTTCAGGCGGGCCTTGGCCAGCGCCGCCCTAGCTTTGTCGAGCCGCTTCTGCTCCGTCTCCCGCAGCCGGCGCTCCAACGCCGCCTCGGCCTTGGTCTCAATGCTCTTGGCAAGCTCGTCCTGGTCGACTAGGACGAGATCATCGATGGCGTCCATGACGGCAACCGTAGCGTGCGGGTGGCGATGACGACGACGAGGGGGAATTAGCGAATCGGTAGTGTGTAGAGAAGAGGTGCTGAATCTGACACAATCAAGGTTTACTTGGGTAGAGGGTGATATAGACGTATGCTTCTGTGGTGTTTAGGCTTTAGTGGGGTAAGCGGTATAAGCTTTGGTAGACCAGCGGTGAGCGATGACCTAAGCGGTGACATAAGCGCCCCCACCCCCAGGCCAATGCACCCCCCATAGCCGTGGATACCCGCAGGTTTTTCCCTCAGTAATAGAAGCACCGCCCAGTAAGGTCCAGCCCTCAAGGTCCAGGATCAGCCTCTTGCCCGGTGTCATCGCGCAGGTTTCTCCCCGAATAGTGGGCCCACTTTTACAGGGTACAAGGAGATCGCCTAGCCAGTTAGCTGCACGAGGCACGTTCGCTTACCGCAAATTTCGATAAATTGGTGGGTTGTGCGACCACGGTGTCGGACCGGATATCGGACTCGGCAGTTCGGATTGCGCACCGGGAGTCGGAAAAATGGCAGCGGTGACGCTTGGCTTGTCGGATTTGCGGTTGTATGCGGACTCGATTTCGCACTTGCCGTCAGTAAATGTCGAATATATGAGAATCGTTGTCGGACGTCTTGTCGTCACGGAGGGTAATTTTGTCGGACGTCTTGTCGCCACATAGAATATCATTTTCGATCAGGTTGTCGAAAATAGTCGGGACGGTGGCGCGTGATTTCCGACAACGCACGCGACAATCACCTCGAGAATGCCCGACACCGCGAACCGCAACAACGACAAACGTTACTCCTTTTCCGATATAAATCCGAAACTCGTTTTCCGAGGGTCCGACAGTGGACGCGACAGTTGAATTTGTGGATGCGGCAAACTAGTGCTCAAAACCCCCAATTATGCGAAATTGGCGGAAATTAGCGGTGCTTTTGCCTGGGCCCGCTGATAATCCCTTTGCAACCAGGAGGAGGAGGGCTAAAAAGCTAGCACAGACGCCCGGGACCCAGGGGAGTATGTGGTGCGGGTGTAGGGAGTGTGTATTACGCTTTGCCTGCCGCCGCCAATCACCGGGACCGATCAGCCTTGCCCTGACGTAGTGCGAGCCCCGACAATCTCTCAAAATAGGAAGGGCCAGAGCCATTGTCGCCATGTACGGAATACCTATCCTCGTCATCTCCGAGCTTTCCTACGGGAGGAGAAATTCAAGCAGGACGTTAAGCATTGCAGGTTACAGGATCCCGAAATCACCGTCGCTGTTTGCTGTAGGCAGTGGTTTTAGCTTGTGGCCCGCCTGCACGCCAAAGCCCACAGGGGGAAATTAAGCTGGTTGTTGGGCCCACTTGCCTCGGCAATGGTCAAAGCGGTGAGGCACTCAGCACGGCGAGGCGCCCAGCGATATCCGCCGAAAATTTCGACGAAATGTGGGAGCCCCCCTCCGTGAGGAGAAGCAGAGGAGGTTGTGACAATAATGGCAAAATTTCTTATTGGCTGTGATAATTGATGGTGGCTGTATGGAGTAGATAGAGGTGGATCTGGAACCTCGATTACGTCATGGCCATCATTGACATACGAGTCATTACCAGTGAAGAGCACGTGATGAGCATATAATTTGTGAGCGAACAACGACAAACCACAACTTACAGAGTAACACCACAACTTACAAAAGTAAAGAGTAGTAAAACAGGACAGTTCATAACTTGCTTATTGGGACTCAAGCAGTGACATTGAACATAGAAAAATTAGGACAAAACGAGGTGGTGATGACGTGTAACGTGTATTCGTAAACGGGCGGTAATCACCGTCTACCAAACATAAATACCACGTCGGTGGTGCCGCCAACAGCGACACAATAACACACGGCGCTAGATGAAAATAAACCATACGTACCCGCCATGACCACCCCTAACCGCAGAGCACGAGCCGATACCCTTATTGTTGCTGTGTCGGCTTTGTGCCCCACCAACCCGGCGGTTTTCCACTGTTTTCGTCCCCTTTCCGGCGTTTTTTTCTTCGCAACCATTGCTGGTGCGAACGATAAATGCCAATAACCACGCGATTGCTTGCCATGCCACTAAGCTATGTACACAGGCGGGGCAGGCGACTAGCAGGGGACTAGAATCGAACGTAGAGCCAAAAGCGATCTAGTCCTTTTCCTGGCCGCGAACGAGGCGCTTGAACTGCTCCACCGTCGCTTCGTAAACGTTGGTGTCTTCAGACGTCATCAGGGGCACCTCAACATCGTCGGCCACAGGCTGCTTACGAGAAATGTCGCTCATTAAACTCTTGAACCACTTCTGCTCCCCCTTGCCAAACGTCATCAGGAGAGCAGTACCCGCTTGGCCAGCTCTCGCCGTTCTCCCCACGCGGTGGACGTACTCGCGAGAACTGTTAGGGAGGTCGTAGTTGACGACGGTTCTGATGCTCAAGATGTCGATCCCTCGAGCAAACAAGTCTGTGGTCACAAGGATGCCGGTGGTGCCTGCAGAGAACCCATCCAACACCTGCTTACGTTGCTGGGCCTTATTATTCGTCAGGTTGATGTAGCCGACGGCAGTGGTCGATCCCATCGTGGCAAGCACCATCGCCAAAAGCTTGGCAAGCCGCAACGAGGCGTCGTTGCTCTTGCAGAACACCAAGGTGTTTTGGGTGGCGTTTGTGGCGATAAGGTATTTCGCAAGCACCCACGGCTTGAACGCCAGTTTCGCCAGCCCGAGGTGGAGCCACTGCTCGGTCAAGGTGGCGGGGACGCTGAACATCTCGTTGACAAGCTCCTGGGCGTCGTTGACCACGAGTAAGTGGGGTTTCTGGAAGTTGAGCACCGCGAGTTTCCCGGCGTCGGAAGTCAACGTGGCCGAGAACACCATTTTCACCACGGGGATATGAGTAAATGAACGAGCGACGTTAGAAGTGGTGGTAACGGACTCGGTGACGACGTGGGCCCAGTTCTGGAACGATTGGTTAAGTAAACGATCGGCTTCGTCAATGACAAGATATTGTACCGTCAGAAGATCAAGCACTTTCAGCTGGAGGTGTTCCACCAACCGACCGGGAGTCAGCACGATGATATCGGGACAGTTGGTCGTGATCTTAGTCGCTTCCTCTTTGAGAGATCTCTCAGTCTTAAGGGCCAACACTGATAATGAGGTACCTTTAGCCACTGCGGTAAACGTCAGCACCACCTGGTTGATCAACGGTTTAGTAGGCACAATCACCACTGCTCTCACCCTCGGTACCACTCGTGACTGTAGCAGCTCGACAATAGGTACAGTATACGCCAATGTCTTCCCACTACCAGTAGCAGCATTTACTAAGAGGTCTCCCTTAACGTCAGGCCGCGGCACCACCAGTTTCAATGAAGCGAAATGTTCAAGTACAGCGACCTGGACACTAAATGCTTCGGTGAATCCCATCTTGGCCAAGTTCTTGGTGGTGTTTTCACTTACTCCCAAATCTTCAAAAGCGACGGTGCGGCTAGGATCAACGTAATGGGCTTGTGTAAGCCAATCTAAATTGGCTTGAAGTTTCACCGTGTGGAGCTTTTTATCTCGTGGGAGTGCTGGTTGAGGCATCGGCTCAAGCGGGGCCAATTCCACCTCAGGCTCAGGTTCGTCTTCTTCGATTTCATCAGCTTCTTGAGTGGACTGCGCAGCTGCTTGGTGGAACTTGTTGAGGATATGTTGATGTTTCAACGGTATGTCAATGGAGTCGGTATGGGTAGTGGCTTCTGAGTCCAGGTCGGATTCAGATTCCGAGCTTTCAGATTCCGAGCTTTCCGAGCTGGAACTGGAAGTAGCCTCAGATGACGAGGCATCCTTTGTCTCTTCAATTGGATCCTTAGCTTTCACTTCAACTTCGTCTTCATCGACATCCATGGCGTCATCGTCACTGCTGCTAGAGTCTTCCTTATCGTCGTTATTCTCCTCGTTATTGTCGTTATTGTCTTCGCTTTCGGAATCGCTTTCGGGTTCTCGTTGTCGTTTGCGGAACCGATCTAGGATATTGGTCTTGGCAGCTGGAGTCAGCGCCAGCGGATCGTAGCGGCCACCAAACATGGGGATTATTAGTGTACCTTTGGTTTATCGCGCCGCACGATGAGGGCCTACGAAGCTCGGGCTAGTGTGTGATGGGGAACGGTTTTTTTCGCTGAGCCATGCTTATGTGCAGTACAATGCGAAATCATAAACTACCATCTTAGTTTTTTCACTGAGTACCAGAATCGAGTATACCCACACCGACTCTCCATCAATAACATGAGAGCGTGTTTGCCTGTGCTCAAGCGGCTGGCGTGGAAAGGGCCCAACGTGGTGCCGCTCCCGCTTTCGGAGGCGATCAAGAACGGCACCCCCGTGCGGACGAACGCGCGGCTGTGTGACATCCTCCCCCAGTTCGTCGGCCTCAAGTTCCAGGTCCACAACGGCAAGGAGTACGTCGAGTTTGAAGTCACCGACGACATGGTGGGGCTGAAGTTGGGCGAGTTTGCCCCGACGCGCAAGCGGTTCATGTACAAGTTCTCGAAGAACTGACCCTGTAAATAGCATAACGACAATAGACGAAGAATTATCACGAGATTGTAGTGGGATGAAGTGTTTGAGAATTAAATCACACTACACGAGTATGACACTGCATCTACCATGTCAGTGTGATGGTGGCTACTGCGATCACTCGGGTGTAACATCCACTCAATGGAAAGTGGTTCCAAAAATCGGATCAATCTTGATGATTCATAAATGATTTGAACTGTAACCCCAAGAACTTCTTGATAGATCTGATATCATACATTTTAGTGAGCTAGAGTAGGCCACATATCTACTCATTTCTCATCTAATACTAAATAGGAAATCGGTGACAGACCAAAGTTAAAACAGTTTTAATCTCTTGCTATCCATGTCATACCAAGAGATTGATTCTCTCGTCACGCAGGCCATTGTTGGTGGAATCGCTCGACCATACAAATGTGGCTGGACCAATTGCTCTACGGCTCACCATGAGTTTCACAGCTTAACCATGTTCAGAATCCATTTATACACCCATTTCCATTTCCACAAATGGATACCCCAGTATGGCTCCGTCTTAAAGAAGATGGATAATGCCGAGGGCCACTGTACCTGTGGCTTCCTTGGTCAAGGCATCTTTTGGGTGGGTCATATATTCGAAGACTGTCCCTGGTTCGACTCTCAGAAAGACGGTGACTGGAGCTACGGAGAATCGAAGTAACCAGCATGATAATAACGAAACACTGGCAAAAGAAGAGTATTAACCTGAGCAATACCTTGCACGATGGACAACACACCGTGGGTTGACCAGAATCTTGTGCTCTGGACGATGATATGAGCAGATTGTGACTATCACTAAGACTTTGATGTCATACGCCCTGTGGTCAACAATCCTTGATAATATGAGATTGTATCTATTTGAGTACGCTTCTAAGTTGATAGGTCGTTGTATTGGTATGCATTTATTGAATTGATAATCACTTAGTGAGTGTAGTTTTCGTTATGGTCATTCTCTTCTTTGTCTTGGGTTGTAGTCGGAGAGGCGCGACTGGCGGAGCTCGCCGGTTCTATCGGTGACAGGCCACATCCCCCACCCGTTGAGGCGCACCACAAGACAGGTGGCGTTGTCGTCGCCGCCGACAAACTCAACAAATTTCACCACTTCTTCGGCGCCCAACTGCGGCGTGGCCACGGTGGTGCCGCGGTTGTTATAGTGGACCATGACAATGTCAGCGATTTCCTGGTCGGTCAACACGTCGGTAATGCCGTCCAGACAAAGCACGAGGAACAGCTCGTTGCCGCCAAGGCCGCCGATGGTGTACTTGGCGATTTCTTCAGGTGTCAAGTGTGCCAGCACCGCCAGGGCGTCGCCGACGACAAGTTGCGAGATTTCAGGTTCGGCGGACACGCCCATCTGCTTGAATTTAACGTCGCCAAAGGCGCGGGTGTTGGCAAGGGCGATGAACCGCTCTTCGCCAAAGGAGTCGGTCATGAACGCCGTGGCGTACTTGTTGAGGCGCTCCAGCTCCACGGGGTTCAGCGGGTGGTGCGGCTGCGTGAGCGCGTGCGCCTCGCCGTTGCGGTCAACGAGGATCGCCTTGGTGTCGCCGACGTGGGCGATGGTCATGATCAGCACCGTGTTCCGCATGAAGTAGTAGTCGGTGGGGGTGCCGATCACCGTCTCGAAGAAGGCGTTGGTGCACGTCAGCCCCAGCTTCTGCGACAGCAGACAGAACTGGTAGTCAGCGTCCAAGTACAGCGCCGGGAGCCGCTGGCGGAGGTTCAAGTGGCGGGCGCTGGCGTCACTGAGCGAAAGCGGGGCGCCGCGCAACAGGTCCATGTGGCTCTTGCGGTGCTTGTACCACCGGCGCCAATAGCCGTTGATGTTCTTCGCGTAGTCCCGGGCAAGCTTGTCCATGTTGATATCGTCGCCCTGCTCTACTACTTTCGCCAAGTTCTCCTCGAGCCACGACGAGCACTCGGAGCCGCCGTGGCCGTCAAATACCGCGAACAGGAACACCTTTTCGTCGTTGATATCAAGCACGGTGGCGGCGTAGCGGTCCTCGTTATAGGGGCGGTTCACTCTCAGCAGGGTGTGGCCAAAGTACATGGGCAGCTTAAGCAACGGGATCCTGAACTTTGCTGGCGCAACAGTCGCCACCAGCGCCAGCGCCAGCGCTGCCGCCAGCGGGTAGGCGCCCATGGTGATCAGGGTCAGAATCGAGCGGCACAGTAGTCGCAACATGACGATGTTCTGTGGTGGAGTAGGAAAGTTGTGTATTGGCCCGGAGGATGAGGCCAGTCCGAAGATTAATGTCCGTGGCGCCCTGCGTATAATCGAGTACGGAAGCGCACTTTTCCTGCACATAGCCGCATACCTCAGAGAAAAACCCCGGGGACAACCTTCTTCCCCTCCCAACACCCACAACAGTGTGCGCGTGCCAAGCGCGTGCGGCACCTGGTCTCCGCCCCTATACTGGGTGCCCCTAATGTTGGAAAAACTTGGCAAGAAGACACCCATTTTTGAGCCCAGTCCCGAGTCAGGTAGGAGTCACAAGCAACACCGAAAACTGGTACCTTGGTATTTTTAGCACAACCAGCAGCCATTGACGGTGGACGGCTAAGTACAAGCGGCTATGACGAGCCACGGCGGCAATTGGGGTGTAATTCGCCTGGAACTCATCTTCCCTTCAATTGTAATTCACTCAGTGGAAGCCACGCCGTGGTCATCTATGTCACCATTATCTTGAAAGCACGACATTATGTGGAGCTCACCACGCGTAAACGGCACCCCATTCGGCATGGTTCTCACAGAATAAAAAAGTCGCAGTACAAAAATCACAGTACAATAATACAGAGGAAAATGTCCCGTGTTAAAATATGTTGGCACCGCCACAAACGCCTAGACCAAGCCTGGGGGAATACGGGACCACACAAAATGAAAAACACCCGGGAGAGAGCCTGGCGTTACCCGTATACCGCTAGGCCAATTCGTATCTGCAAATTAAACCCAATTGCCATTTGTGTCGCCACCAAACCCGCCCCCCTTGGGGCAGTGGCAAAGCTTCAAATTAAGCACTATAATAAGCGCTATAGTAAGCACTGTAGCCAATTTAATTGGCCACAATTGATGCGACTCGTGGAGCCACGGATCACCAGCCTCAATTGCTCTAATCACCTTCAAATTAAGTGGCTTGTCGTGGGCTTAGGGACATATAGTGCCTACTCGCTCCTGTCGCGATTATCCCCTCGTTTCACCCCGTGTCTTGGTTTGAAGGGGACGCCACATACGCCCTTATTGTCGGTGGTGTCTGCTTCCCTGGTGTCTGCAAGGCAGACACGATCGCACATTTTCTGTCGCATTTTGGCGAATTTTGGTGCAGCGGGGGCAGCCGCTAGAGGCGACAGCTGGGCCGCCGCTGGCTCGTGTCGCCTATTATTAGTCCGGGGCACTGGAGAGAAGCGTGGAGGACACCGCGAAAACGTGTGGGGGGGCCTGCTAAGCGTTAGTAGTGTATAGGGTGATGATAGTCGGGGGTTGATTGGCACAGGGCGGGTCCGGGGGCCATTGCGCCGAAACAGAGACTGTCAGCAAT